GTTCTTGAGGAGGATCAGCGGATTATCCTGGAGATTGTTGACGGAAACTGGTTGGATGAGCTAGAGAACCATCTTGTATCAGGAGACTATCCGGAGAGTGCTAACAGGTTCCTCTGCTGTCTGTATACACACAAACATACTGGACACAAGAACAACAAGATCAACATATCCAATGTTAACCAAATTAAAGATACCAACAAAGAAGAGTTGTACAAGAATAGGGAGGGACATGACAAGAATAAAGGAGACTTCAATGTCAACAAGAAACAAGAAGACAGGGACAAGAGCAAGACAAAAGAAAATGAAGTTACAGATAGTAAGTCTAAAGACGAACCTCCTCTAAAGACCAGAGAAGAAGAAGAGCTGGACGGAGATGAAGAAACTCAGGATAGGTTTGAGACGGACTCTGGCGGGAAGAATAAGACTGAGATGCTAGAATGTGTCCGGATATTATCCCGCCGGGTTCAGCCTGATCTTGAATGTGAGTCCAACCATATTTACGATATTTCACTAAACCTGAAAGGTTTAAGAGGAAAAGAAAATAAGAAAGAAAATGAAAAGTTTTAATATTCATAAATCTATCAAATTCTATTATAATGTTAAATAAAGATACGAATTTGTTACCCTACTTTTACTCAAATTGTAAACACGAGAAAAGAAAGTAAATGCAAAATTGATCCATGAAAATATGAGATAAAAAAAACAAACCATTTATAACCTAGATTATTTATAGAAATAACAAGAAAATATAAGAAGTAGTTGATAGTTGATAGTTGATAGTTGATAGTTGAACGTAATATCAGTACGCATCCTTAATGAGTACTATGTACTACTAGTGTGAACGATGACATTTGAGAACTAATTTTCTTTATTCATTAAATCTGACCTTCTTACGGTTATCTTTTAATTTCTTCACGCTAAATTTTTCCTGATGAAATATCATTTTTCATTAATAATTAAATAAATCGTGTCAAAGAAGGTTGAATGTATAACTAATGATATAAAAAGAAAAGTAACAGTACATCATACGGAAAATGACGAAAATGCCATTTTAATTAGTCCTAGAAGATGTCTATTTCATTTTTGATCGTAAAAATATGAAACCCTTAAAATATGTTAAATACACAATTGTTGATTATGTAAAAATATCGCCACCCTGTATGGTTGCAACATATAAAAATCTGACCATAGAACATAAATAAGAAGTAAAAAGAGTAAAAGCACACAAAAAATAAAAAATTTAGATAAAGCAGAACTTTTATTAAAGGTTTGTAAAAACAAGAAGATTAAGATTTAAAATATATACTGAGTAGTGATTTATAAAGTTTTAGAAAACTACAAGAAAAATATTTATTAAATATGGAGAAGCAAGTTAATAGATAGATGGATAATGAAAGATTTCAATAAAAAGCTGAGATTGGAAAGTTTAAAAGAAAATTTTAATAAAAGGTTATCTAAAAAAATCTATTTAATAAAGCTTTTCGCTCATATGCAAGGTAGCTTGAATGTTCGCTATAGCTAATCAAACAGCTGGACTAAATTAACTGAAATCTGTTGAGCCTGTAAGTACCCTAGGAATCCTAGGGGTGACATTGGATTTTTTTTTGGGAAACTTTTGGCCAACGCTAGTAGTAAATAAGATTGGAAAAAATAAGGATTCACTTTTTCTTTTGAAAAAGATAAAATGGACATTCATTGGATACTGAATCTCAGGAATATCACTAATAATAGAATTAGGATTAAAAGCAAGACTGAATTGATGTAACCTAACCAAGAGGTTACCTGGATACCTCAGGGGACCTGGAATCTGGATACCCCAGGGGTTCCTGGTTATCCAACCCTTCCTCTGATTCCAAGGAAAGGATGCGACACAAGCAAAATACGCTTTAGCGTCTTAATTGCATACTTTTATACGTTAGTATATTTCTTAATTCTTTAATGTTTTTTTACAACACAAAATATGTGAAAATATTATTAAATTTTTTCTGTACTTCCATTAAGTTTCCAGAGTTTACAATAATCTATAAATTTAAAGAAGTAATCTCGGATGAATTGTGTGTAGGTCCGATCATACAGGGTGTCCCACAAAACATGACAGTATGCAGGACGACTTGAATGTCGTCTTGATTTTTGATATAATTTGCTGCGTTTATTTGTCAACCTAATTTTAGAAGTAAATTTCTAGAGAAAATAATCACAAAATTTCCCTTGTCCTGCCATTTCCAAAATGTGGTCTGCCTTTTTTGTGCTTTCAATATTGCCGGAGATATGAAGAATTTCGTTCAGATTTCGACAATTTTGCTTTTATTTAACAAAATTGAAATCTGAACCAAACTCTTTATATCTCCGGTAATATTGAAAGCACAAAAAACGCAGACCACTTTTTGGAAATGCCAGGGCTAGGAGAATTATGTGATAATTGTTTCAAGAATCATACATGTTAAAGTAGATAGAAGACTAAACGTCACAAATAAATTCAAATATCAAAGACGACTTTCAAGTCGTCTTCCTATTGTCATGTTTCGTGGGACACCCTGTAACTCATTAACCCCCTTGACTGATTTGCCTCAAATTTTGATTTGGAAATTTGTTTGCTTTGCTTAAAAATTCTGAAGTTAATCATGTTGACTTTATTTGAGCAATCTTAGTTTCCTGGCGAAGCTGGGTTTCTAAGCTAGTACTTTATAAATTGCTATTTGCTTAATGTAATAGCAAAGGAATTTTCATTTATCATTAAAAGATTTTACTTGGCTCTTTAAATATTCCTTTAATTTAAATCATTCAAAATACAGTATTTTTACTTCAAAAAAATCCATGATTTCTTTTCCAAAATAATTTAAACTTACTATTTTAATTTTAAAAACTTCACAGCTGAATGTTTAGTGTAGATAAAAAATGTATGAGACTAATGTGCACTTTATCATTCTTACTCACTTCATGTTGAATTTTATTATTAACGTTCTTTAAAGTAATCATCTTGCTATAAAGTTAAATTAGCTGTACATTGTAGCCCGTGTGCTATAAAGTTTTGGTTGGTTCCCGGATTTTCTCCAAATAAAATTAGGATTTTTCCAAAATATTTTTTTCAATTTAAATGAAAATTAAATTGAAATTAAATTTATGTTTTCATTTCTGCTTTCTTAAAAAGCTTATTTATCTAGAAATAGCTATTGCTGCAAGACAAGTACACAAACGTTTCATAAAATTACCAATAGCAATATTATTTTGGCACGACGTGCTGTAACGTTCTTGGACTTAAAGCTCGGGACAAAATAAAATCTAAAAAGACTTGAACCTTCTCGATAAAGAGAAAATTTCAGTCCTAAAACTTTATAACACTACGAACCCAAATAATAGTGTTGTAAATAGTTAAAGTGATACCAGAGCTTTGTATATGTTCGGATACTGTACTTCAAATCAAGTTGATAGTCCCTTAAAGTTTGCATCAGAATAAAAAATATTTGCACATAGATTAATAACAATACAGATAGAACACTAATAGTTCCCTTTTTAAGATTTAGGGTTTTTTTGTTCACAATAACCCTGAGGCAGAAGCCCAAAGGAGTTACGCACATGCTCTCTCTCTGTCTTTTAATTCAACGCAGCATAAGCGTACATCCTTTGGGATTATGCCTCAGGGTTATTGTGAACGAAAAACCCCAAAATCTTAAAAAGACGACATCTAGTGTTCTATCTGTATTGTTATTAATCTATGTACCTGCACAACCGCTTCGCCGTACAGTTCCAGGAATAGGTTTTAGATTATTAAACATTGTTCGGTGCTTAATGCAGGATATACTTCATAGCTGTAACATTCAATTAATGAAATGTATGACGTTTAGGAATTTTTAAATGCCTTCACATTAAACTTCAGTATATTTAATTTCAAGTTGAAGGATTGCTTGTTTTCAAACTCGATTCCTTAAGTTTTTAGTAAATTATGATGAGAATGAAAGATTTTAATCCGTCATCGCACCTGGAATAGTTTGCTTTTCTATCTCTTGTGTAAAATAAAAAAAACTAAATGAGTTGCAATGTTGCAATGTCTAACAGCAATGACTCTGAAAGTTAATCGTTTCATAAGATACCATATTCTTTAAGATTATCTTATTGTATATGAAAGGAAATATATAATATGTTTTATTAAGTCCATTAAATTAAGTTTTCTTGAATTCGTATATTCCAACCAGTCATGTATTTATACTGGAAACAGTTAATGAATATGACGGAATAGATGCGGTATACTTTGTAATTTATAAATTAGAATTTACTACGGAAAACAACTGTATTCGCAGCTTTAAGAATTCAAATTATCAAAAAGGAAAAAAACGAAAGCGGACCTGCCAGGTATGGTCCATCCAATGCAAGTAAAAAATAGAATATACTTAACTTAATTTATGCAAAATGAAGCAAATATATTGTTTTTATAAGGTTAAGTACTTAAATCTGAAAACTAATTCAAACTCCAATTATGCATAGTTCACTCCATATAGCTGTTGCAACTGCAACTGCAATGTATAATAATAAACTTTACAAACAAGCAATCAAATAATGCATTTTAACTGTTTAAAGAGAATGTTAAAATATTTAACCGCAGTTAGAGATACAAATAATATGATATAAGTAGGAGGCAAATTTCTTGATAGGAAATGGATAATTTTTGTCCCTTTGAGGGCATTTAGCCAGCTCAAAACTATTGTGAAAAGCTTGCAGATTTGTCATTTTGGAGGAATAACATCTTTATCAGGGATACAATATTTTTGCTAGCGTCATTTTTGTTGGCATTGGTTTTGATCTGGTGTTTCTTGAAAGAAAAGCTGATTTGAAACCTTCCTTCATGGATTCTTAAAGGTTTGATTAACATCCCTATCGGTCAGTACTGGAAAAGAGGCTTTGGATTCCGTGAAAGGAGCTTTATCCAAAATTCTCTTTAGAGAAACATCAGATAGAAGCAATAATTAGATGGTTGAAAACATACTGTTCCATAGAATGAATATGAATTATTTGTGCAGTTATTTATTCTAAAGAAACATGGTCTTATATTTATATGTTTATTCTTTTTTTTTACATTTATAAAATGTTTTTCTTTCAGTAGCTTCCTGGTTTTCTTCTCTGCAAGGGTTAGATATACATCATGAAGGTTGTAACAAGGATAGATATAGTTCCAGTAGTTATTCCAACTAAATAAATTTAAGTTCAATTATAAAATGAGACCAAATGACCCCTTCCCCTAACATATACAATAAATATACAAAGTAACTGATCACTCTAATCTTACTCTTTTTTTCTAATCCTTTTTTCTTGTAGCATGATTTTGTACAACTTTAAATTATACTAGACTAAACATGCATATCAAAGTTTAAACCAATAGGGTTGTAAAAATATTGAGAATGGGACAAGAGATCAGTTCCTTTAATGAAAAATCTAAAATGAATTATTGGTTTCAAAATTTTATTTTAGAATTACCGAAGATTAAAGATGCTACATGTGCGGTTGTAATTTTCCTTCCCCTAGTCTTAAATACTTCCCCCTCACCAGTCTTCCAGTCAGATCTAGAGTAACAAAATATTCTTTATTTTTTATTTTAAGTTTTTTTCCGACATTAGTTTAGAAGTATCCAACAAAAAACTTACATTAATGCTAGGATAAGTATTCCGATGTTTTCCAAGGGTATTTTACCACTTCCCAAATGTTCAATTTCCCAAGTATCAACTTCCCAATCTGTCCTAGCCACAGCACTTGCCCTTCCTACCCACAGCGCTTGGCCCCCATTGCAGCTTCCGGCACCTCAGAAGGCCTAACATAAGTTGCTAACCTTTGGGAAGTTTCCACTTGGGAAATTGTCATATGGGAAGACGCCCTTGGGACCATGCCTTTGGGAAATTACCTAACATCAGTATCTCTACTGTGTAGACTAAAATTACTTGAATGCTAGTATAAGTATCTCTAACTTACTTAAAATTCTAGGATTAGTATCTCTGCTGTATAGATAAAACTTACTTGAATGCTAGTGTGAACCCAGAAAAGGGGTTTCCCATGGGTATAAAGTATTGTATGGTTCATTGCTCCCAGTTGGAGAAATAATGCCTAACATATGCAATCCAAGAATAAAGCCAAACAATCCAGATTCAGTCCAGAAGGGTATTGAACCCCGAGTATGTTTGCAGCCTTAGTACCTAACAGGCTAGGCTGGCAAGGGTATTGAACCCCTTTCTTATCTGGAGAGATCAAGTCGGTCCTGTTTAAAGGGGCTGCTTAAAGGACGAAGCTAGGGTAAGATCGATGCTGCAGAAAGGGGTGAAACGGCATTAATCTAGCAGTATCGTCAGCCATCTTATTCCTGGAATCCCCCAAGAATCAGCAGTTAGCGCAAAGTATCTGATCAGAAGAGTCAAATGAAAATAAATTCGCCCAGGCGAATATCATGTGTATTTGGATCAACTTTAGTTGGTCCGCCACTAATCATTTGTATCGTTATAATGTAAATATAGATTGTGTGCAACCATGCTTCATTATTCCACTCAATCTTGGCTTTTTACTACTGAGTTCTATTCAAGTCTATATAGTGACAGCCTAGGATAAGTATCTCTGTTGTGTAGATAATACTTACTTGAATCCTAGGATAAGTATCTCTACTGGATAGATAAAACTTACTTGAATGCTAGGATAAGTATCTCTGCTGTGTAGATAATACTTACTTAAATCCTAGGATAAGTATCTCTACTGTACAGATAAAAGTTACTTGAATGCTAGGATAATTATCTCTGTTGTGTAGATAATACTTACTTGAATACTAGGATAAGTATCTCTACTGTATAGATTGAACTTACTTGAATGCTAGGATAAGTATCTCTGCTGTGTAGATAATACTTACTTAAATCCTAGGATAAGTATCTCTACGGTATAGATTGAACTTACTTGAATCCTAGGATAAGTATCTCTGCTGTATAGATTTAACTTACTTGAATCCTAGGATAAGTATCTCTGCTGTATAGATTGAACTTACTTGAATGCTAGGATAAGTATCTCTGCTGTGTAGATAATACTTACGTAAATCCTAGGATAAGTATCTCTACTGTATAGATAAAACTTACTTGAATGCTAGGATAAGTATCTCTGCTGTATAGATAGAACTTACTTAAATGCTAGGATAAGTATCTCTACTGGATGGATAGAACTTACTTGAATGCTAGGATAAGTATCTCTGCTGTATAGATAGAACTTACTTAAACGCTAGGATAAGTATCTCTAATGGATGGATAGAACTTACTTGAATGCTAGGATAAGTCTCTCTGCTGTGTAGATAATACTTACTTGAATACTAGGATAAGCATCTCTACTGTATAGATAAAACTTACTTGAATGCTAGGATAAGTATCTCTGCTTGGTAGATAATACTTACTTAAATGCTAGGATAAGTATCTTTACTGGATGGATAGAACTTACTTGAATGCTAGGATAAGTATCTCTGCTGTATATGCTAAAAATGATATTCCCATACCAGCAATGTACACAATAAATATTCCGATCAGATTCTGAACACTAAACAGAAACAAAACTATTTTTTACAAATCGGATTTTTTTTAACATCGTCTAATTTATTTTGTCTAATTGTTTCTTTCCGAATAAAAAAAAGCGACTTTAGATAAAATCAACTAATCAAAAATTAATTGGTGTAGGAAATTTTGTTTTTACCATCTCTATTATTTAGCTTGGAAAGCTTTGCCTGGAAACTAAACTTTCCCAATAAAGTCAACCAGAGCTGAAAACTTTTGAATGGGATATCCTTAATCCTGATCGGATAATTAATCTGGAGATTAAAAATGAGAGGAGAACAAGCAATATGTAATCTCGAGATTAAGAAAAAGAGTGGATTAAGCATTAATCCCGATATCCACCATTCTAAAGTTTTCAGCTCTGCTCAGCCTAGAATCTGTAAACCAATCTAAGAATTTTCCCATAGCTCTGCCGAGTTCCTCAATTAAAATTTGAGGCAAATCGGTCAATGGTTTTATGAGTTATGATCGAACATACATACTTGAGCTAGTATAATATATTATAGATATATTAATATAGATTTCAATTAAATATTTTACTTTGTATTCTTTTTATTATTTTACCTGAGAGGTTCTAGTTTATCTTCATTATCTTGATCTTCTATTAGAGCAGCTTTATGTAATATAAAATCAACCGGTTTGTTCACAAGACCAGCCTTTATTAAATAAAAAATAAATAAAAATTGGGAGTTTTTTTTGTAAGTTTGAATTCTCTGACATGTTTTAATCTAGACGCTTTCAGAAACTTATTTTTTACTTTAAAGTTTTAGGCATTTATTATTTTTATTTGTATTTAGGAGCTAGACACTAGTTCAAAATAATTTTTTCTACCCCTTATATTTTAGAAACCTCATCTCATACATCGTTGATATAATGAAGCGATGGAAATTAAGATTGAGGCAATTTTTTAGTTCCTTTAACGCTTTAGGTATTAACTAGGAGTTTTTATATGTACGTATTTATTTAATGTTTTAGCAGGCATTAATGTGTGTTTTAGTAGGCAAGTTTTTGACATTCATTTGTAGTGTTCAATGATACTTTTTATTAAATGAAATGCACAAGAACTAGAACGACATCTAACCAAAGCCCAAAACTTAAGACAGGGTGATCGTTATGAAAACCAGTTTTAAAACCCGGGTTTCATGAATGGGGTTAGGCAGTTTTGTGATTATCAATATTTTTGTAATGTAATACTATTTTTATCAGTTTGTTTATATTCTCCATTTTTTTCAAAAATCAAAATCTACACAATTGCTAATACCCCATAAAGGAAACTTGTGAGTTTATTTCAACGATACTCTTTTAAATTTCGGGCTCTTCTGCTTCAGCGAGCTGTACAGTACACACACAGATTATAATAGACAGTACACCAAATGAATTAGACCCTCCTACTAGGGAAATTCATGTGTGTATGATTTGAGAAACCTGATGCATTCTCAGAATATGCATATTCATTGGATCCAGTAGATTTGATATCTTCTGTACCACCCAGCCTGTATAGTAGGGACGGATAATCTCTTTGCTAAAGTGAACCTTCGGTAGTTTGCTGTACCTGGAGTAAAACGGATTATCTATTGGTAAAATTTTCTTTTTTCCCTAGTCTAACTTTTCATAATGAATCTAGCTCACTCACTGCAAACCAATTGATGTGCACTTTCTCACGCAAAACTCGAGCAGTATTTATCCAATTAGTAGCAATTCAAAATATCATTTTAGATAGATATTTACAAACCTACCTAGGGTCTCCTGAGATAAACCGTCCGTAGAAATCTATAGTTGTCCTGAAACCAGAAACAATGTAGAACATGAATTAATAAAAACAAATAAAATAATAATATTTTATAGTTCTTATTTAGCTAAGTTCATATTCATTTAAAGAAATTGACAAATCGTCACAAACTTTAGCTTTCTAGTCCCACATCTTTACAACCAGATAATGTAAATCTTTGACTATTTAATCTAACAGAATTCATAGTTTGAAATATCAGCGGTCTACGACATCAGGCTGCTAAGATATTTGGATTTAATAATGATTTGTCTTGAGTGATCAATTCCTTTTTGGTGTCTCATAACTCTTTATTATACTTCATTATATAGGTAGCTGTAGCTTTTATCCTTTCCATCTCTTTATTATACTTCATTATATATATACCTGTAGCTTTTATCCTTTCCATCTCTTTATTATACTTCATTATATATGTACCTGTAGCTAATATCCTTACCATCTCTTTATTATACTTCATTATATATGTACCTGTAGCTAATATCCTTTCCATCTCTTTATTATACTTCATTATATATGTACCTGTAGCTAATATCCTTTCCATCTCTTTATTATACTTCATTGTATATGTACCTGTAGCTAATATCCTTTCCATCTCTTTGTTATACTTCATTATAAATATACCTGTAGCTAATATCCTTACCATCTCTTTATTATTCTTCATTATATATGTACCTGTAGCTAATATCCTTTCCATCTCTTTATCCTACTTCATTATATTTATACCTGTAGCTAATATCCTTTCCATCTCTTTATGATACTTCATTATATATATATACCTTACCATCTCTTTATTATACTTCATTATATGTATACCTGTAGCTAATATCCTTACCATCTCTTTATAATACTTCATTATATATGTACCTGTAGACAATATCCTTTCCATCTCTTTATTCTACTTCATTATATATATATACCTGTAGCTAATATTCTTTCCAGCTCTTTATTATACATCATTATAAATTTACCTGTAGCTAATATCCTTTCCATCTCTTTATCATACTTCATTATATATGTACCTGTAGCTAATATCCTTACCATCTCTTTATTCTACTTCGTTATATATATATACCTGTAGCTAATATCCTTTCCCTCTCTTTATTCTACTTTATTATATATATACCTGTAGCTAATATCCTTTCCATCGCTTTATTATACTTCATTATATATGTATACCTGTAGCTAATATTCTTTCCCTCTCTTTTTTATACTTCATTATATATATACCTGTAGCTAATATCCTTCCATCTCTTTATTATACTTCATTATATATATACATGTAGCTAATATCCTTTCCATCTCTTTTTTATACTTCATTATATATATATCTGTAGCTAATATCCTTTCCATCTCTTGATTATGCTTCATTATATATATATCTGTAGCTAATATCCTTTCCATCTCTTTATTATACTTCATTATATATATATACCTGTAGCTAATATCCTTTCCATCTCTTTATTATACTTCATTATATATATATACCTTACCATCTCTTTATTATACTTCATTATATGTATACCTGTAGCTAATATCCTTTCCATCTCTTTATTATACTTCATTATATAAATATACCTGAAGCTAATATCCTTTCCATCTCTTTATTATAATTCATTATATATGTATACCTGTAGCTAATATCCTTTCCATCTCGTTATTATACTTCATTATATGTATACCTGTAGCTAATATCCTTACCATCTCTTTATTATACTTCATTGTATATGTACCTGTAGCTAATATCCTTTCCATCTCTTTATTATACTTCATTATAAATATACCTGTAGCTAATATCCTTACCATCTCTTTATTATACTTCATTATATATATATACCTGTAGCTAATATCCTTTCCATCTCTTTATTATACTTCATTATATATGTACCTGTAGCTAACCCCCAGCGTTTTACCGACCTCTCATTAGTAGAATTCTAAAAGTTTTGACCAGTAAGATATTAGTTAATCAGATCAGAAAATAAGATATTAGTTAATCAGATCAGAAAATAAGATATTAGTTAATCAGATCAGAAAATAAGATATTAGTTAATCAGATCAGAAAATGCAATGCCGTGATATAGGTTTTACCTTTTTCCATCAAATCTTTAGTTATACAGAGAAAGCAATTCCGTGATATAGTTTTTAACCTTTTTTACCCAAAAGAAAACTATAAAGAAGGTTTTGAACTAAACTCCGTTTACATATTAAAGGAAATTGTGCTAGAGATACAAACAAAAATGTGAGTAGATTATTTTCTTATGATGATTACCAGAAGCTTTTCAGATGCCTTTTGCTCCCAGTATCCACCAGAGGTTGATAGATATCCTTGTATCCAGCTAGCTTTAGCAACCTAGAAAAAGGTTAATAGATATCCTTGTATCCAACTAGTTGTAGCAACCTAGAACTAGGTTAATAGATATCCTTGTATCCAGCTAGCTTTAGCAACCTAGAACAAGGTTGATAGATATCCTTGTATCCAACTAGCTGTAGCAACCTAGAACAAGGTTAATAGATATCCTTGTATCCAACTATCTGTAGCAACCTAGAACATGGTTAATTGATATCCTTGTATCCAACTAGCTGTAGCAACCTAGAACAAGGTTGAAACATATCCTTGTATCCAACTAGCTTTAGCAACCTGGAACAAGGTTGATAGATATCCTTGTATCCAACTAGCTGTAGCAACCTAGAACAAGGTTGATAGATATCCTTGCATCCAACTAGCTGTAGCAACCTAGAACAAGGTTGAAATATATCCTTGTATCCAACTAGCTGTAGCAACCTAGAACAAGATTGAAATATATCCTTGTATCCAACTAGCTGTAGCAACCTAGAGGAAGATTGATTTTTATGGTATATCTCTATCAGGCTGTGGCTTTAGAATAAATTTTTGGTATAAAAGACCTAAAACTACAGTGGTTAGCATTTTTATCAATACTATCAAGAAGACTTTTCTATTCAATAATTCAAATTTGCAAGACTGTCCTCATTGCATGATTAAAAGATTTCCAAAATAAGAAGTGGCACTGAGCACACCAATTTATATTTACCTGAATCCTCTGACCAGATTTAACTACATCTTCCATATTATTAATAGGAGCTCCATACTCTGCTTTGGTAAGCAAAGCCCTGACAAAATAAAAGTTTAATTTAAAACATTTTAAAAATCCCACTTAAAATCTGTTATTGTGTTTGTCAGATGTTTCTAAAATTGTTAAAAAATTTCTTGACACAGAACACAACGTTCTATGCATGAGGAAATTAATTTTGCCACAAACTCAAATTTTCTTATCTCTATTATCTTTGCAACCTTAACAGAATACATAGTTTAAAACTTTAAAGGTTAACGACATCGGATTGCAAAGATATAGATATAAGAGAAAATTATAGTTTGTGGCAAAAACTCAATTGTTTTAAATTTTACATAGTTCTGATTTCAATTTACGATGCTCTAACTACAAAAAAAACGCAGCTCCATACTCATCGAGAACTCCACCCTGCACCAGTTACTTACTTTTAAGATATGAAATTGATTAAGATTTAGGACTTAAAAGGAGTTTCAGACTAGACATGGTAGTTGAGCTGAGAATGCAGTATTGTAGAGAAATGTTTAGAGTTCATTTGAGACCTATGGGACGTTTTTACGGTGCATATTTGTCCAGCAAGAGCGCCAGTTCAATCCTTAAAATCCTTAAAGATTGTTCATTTTGGAGGAATGATTTTGAGAATCGGTTTTCACTAACTAGATGTTCAGGAAAAGGTTGAGAAAATAAAAATAAACTCATATCATCTAAAATAAGTAATCTTATTCGTTATTTTTTTCTGTAATGACTCAATGTTCACAAACATTTGCGTAGATTTCCTAAAAGTTTTATTGAAAATACAACATTTGAAGAATTTGAAAAAATCTGCAAACAAATTCATTTAGAATAAGAAATAAAATGATAAAAGAGAAATAATTGACTCTCACATTGATTTAATGATAAATTTCTTTTGAGAAATATATTCCATTCTTTAAATAGTTATATGATAGCAGATGCAAATATTTTGCCATTTCTATATTCCCTGTTCTTCCTTTTTTCTTGTTTGTACATCTTTCAATCATAATTTGGCCAATTTCAAAAAAGAATATTTTTCAGACATCCTAGCAGTTTGCCAAAAAATGTCAGTTTTATAACTATATGTAGGTTAAGGTGTCTTTCTTATTTTGGACTTGATAATTGGATGATTCAGCGACTAAATTTGAGCTGAGCTGACTCAGCTACAAACACACATTTCTAGTGTATTTTTTATCTTTCGATTCTGTCTTCATTCGCCATAGGAAAAATTAATAGTGTAAACCTTATCATCAGAGAATTCTCTTTCAATTTTTCCTGTTCAATTTTCTTTTTTCTTTTTGTTTCTTGTTTCTACGTTTTTAGACCTCTCCAAATATTTCTTGTGACATTGAGTTGAAGAGAGATAAGGAGGTTTGGAGGAGGGAGGGTATGAGGGATTTCAGTGGAAACCCCCTGCTTTCCTTCATGTTAAAGTCTTTCCAACTAAGTGAACTTTTAAGGAGACCCATAACTGCAATGCTTATGCCAAATGGGTTGTTGAAAGCCTTAAAGCCCCATCAGGTGGAATCTTTCACAGCAGTCCAGTCCTCACAGCCGGTATCGTTGAGCATGGCTTGTATAACTATCAGGAGTTATACTTTTCAGCTGAGATGTTGATATGAACAAAGGTAAAGATGGACTTCTTTCTTACTATTTAAATCCTACGTTTTGCTACTCTCCTGTAGGATGCATCATGGGGAACTAAACCCAGTGCTCCTTCAAACTGTGCAGCCGGGAGCTGCTATGAGAGAGTTCCGTACCCCTCTGAGAGCGGTAAGCATCTGAGAAATATGTTCCTAAACAAATAATTAGTTCAATGTAGAATTTTGTGACATATTTGATCGCCGTTATGAAATAATTAAAAAAAAACTATTTTTGTGCTCTTACTGAAAATATGCACTATTTAACGTCTCATATAGGTCTCAAATGAATCCTAAAAAATGTCTGTACAATTCTGCATTCTCAGTTCAACTACCATGTCTAGCTAGACACTCCCTTTAAATAAGATAAATTTGTTTACAGTAGATTGCTGGAGTAGGCGAAAGTGAGCAGCATGCCAGTCAATCCCCAGTTGAGAAGGAGAAAGTTTCCAGAGAACCCTCGCCCAGAGTTGTTCTTCGCAGAGTTGAACATTTTCTGATCACCTAATTTTGAATTGCTATAATGTCGTCTTCCTATTCCACAGTTTTCTGGTTTTGTTTATTATTAATAGAGAAAATATTCTGACTTATCAATGATTGAGGTAAGATATTTCCGGACTTCTCTTTTCATCATTTTAATAAATATTTCACCAGACATATTTTCTGTAAAGAATTAACTCTGTTTTTACCTTCTTGAGATAAGTATGCCATTGGTACGAACAGTGCCCAGTATGTATCCTTGTACTGCATACCGTAAAGCTATAATTTAAAAAAAATTATTAGAACATTCACCACATGAAAAAAGCGATATTTAGAAAACATAATTAGAAAACTAGTTGCTGCCAACATTTTTTTTCTTTTAATGCGCTTCGTGCTCATCTTCTAATTCAACTTTTAATTGTTACTCTATTTGTGAGCGTTTTCTCTTCCTACAGTATAATTAAACAATTAAAAAAATTGGAGATTATTTTCTTGTGAATTTATATAATTTTACAAAAAAAATTTTTTTTAACAGCTCTTTCTACTTATTCACAGTTTATTTTTGTTTGTTAATACTGGCAATTTTGACAGTTATTTACTTAGTGGACATAATCAGCTGTTTATCTTACCTATGTCGACAGATATTTGCCTGGTTAATGTTGACAGCTATTCACCTGGCCAATTTTGACAGTCATGTACTTGGCCGATTTTGAAAGCCATTTATGGTTTATTTTGACAGCTATTTACTTGGCCGATTATGACAGCCATTTACCAGGCCTATTTTGACAGCTATTTACCTGGCCGATTCTGACAGACGTTTACCTGGACGATTCTGACAGATGTTTACCTGGCCAATTATGACACCTGTTTACCTGGCCGATTCTAACAGTCGTTTACCTGGCCGATTTTTACAGACGTTTACTTGGCCGATTTTGACAGCTATTTACTTGGCCGGTTATGACAGCCGTTTACCTGGCCTACTTTGACAGCTCCTGCTACTGCTAAGGACATTGCAATTAAACTGCTAATGAATCCGAGCCAAACCATCGGATCAAAGCAGAGAATAAAGTTCTTGTATGGAGCCACCTTGCCTAGGTAAAGAAAAATATTGGATGTTTTTAATCTTTTTTTCAACTTCAGTTTTTCAGAAGTGTTTGACAAAATCTTAATACATTTTTGCACCAAAATGAACAAAAGTTATTATGTGCCTTTTTATTAATGGTGGGACTGCATTTGTCACTTTTTGTTAAAAATATTGAGATCCTTTCAGAGTGTGATGTGACGTAAAAGTTTATTATACTATAAAAAAAAATTTCACCCAGAACATGACATTTTTGTAAAAGAATAATTCACTAGTTCAAGCAAAATATATAGTTTATCAAAGTGTGTCAAAATGGACAAAACTTCAAAACACTGAATTCAAAAACGTTGAAATCATAAAAATCTGTAAAAAATGGAACCAATTATATTCAAAAAAATTGTTCTTTAGTTGAAATAATCCTCCAAAAACCTTGTTTTTTGGCCCCAGATCAAACAATTAAAAAAAAATCGGAAATAGTCACTGGTTTGAGGCGCAGCTTTAAATATCCATATCGGCATGCTTTGAAAAAGCTGAAAAATCGACCTCCCTTACAGATTTTTGATTTTGGAACTTTTTTCATATTGTCCCAGGCAAGGTTATTTTTAAGTTTACCTGGAGCCTTAGAAATCCATCTGAAGTGCATTGGAAGAAGATGATGTGTGTAATCAACATGGGTTTGCCTGATTGCTGAATATCCCATAGAAGATATCCCGAGATCACTGAGATTGTATCCAACCTAAATAAAGGATACCCCTAGATCTCTGAAATTGTATCCAACGTAGATATAAATATCCCTAGATGACTGAGATTGTATCCAACCTAAATAAAGGATATCCAGAGATCACTGAGATTGTATCCAACCTAATAGAGGATATCCAGAGATCACTGAGATTGTATCCAACCTAATAGAGGATATCACTAGCAACCCGACCTAATATAAGATATACCTGGATCACTGAGATTATATACAACCTAAATAGAAGATATCCAATATCGATATATCGCTGAGATAGTATCCAACATAAATAGAGGATATCTCTAGATCACTGAGATTGCAACCCGACCTAATAGAAGATATCCCTAGTTCACTGAGATTATATCCAACCTTAATAGACGATATTCTAGAAAGCGTCCAATAGTGATAGAGATTTTCCGAGATTACAAAGATTTTATCCATCCTAAAAGGGAATATCCCTAGATCACTGAAATTGTATCCAACCTAAATAAAGGATATCCAGAGATCACAGAGAGTGTATCCAACCGAAATAGAAATATTCCGAGATTACTAAGAATGTATCCAGCCTAAAAGGGAATATCCCTAAATCCCTGAGATTGTATCCACGACCAAAATAGAGGATATCCTCAAATAAGTATCCAACATGGTATCTGATCCAAAGAATCAACATAAAAAGAGTTCCGTGGTTAATATGCGCGAATTACGGGACGATTATCCAAGGTTCTCAACGTGTTATTAACTGATAAACCTTGTTTAAATTTATAAACTGATTATGTCTCGAAGTAAACAAACAGAATTTAAATAATTCATGTTTTCCTAGCCTATTAGATAGAAATTTACATTTCTCTTGTAAGCAGGAAGATTTAACCTTTCATAACTTATTTTCATGAAAAACTTTAACTTTACTCACATCTCCGACAACTCCATTCCATGAGTTAGTTGCGTTGACCCATGCTCCCCACTGGAAGTTAGCGTCTCTATAGCTGACAGTCATCCTACGTATATAGTTAAATACAAGGTTAACATATGGTATATATGATTAGCTTTCATCTTTCAAACTCTACAATACATATTCTGAAGAATGTTGTGTTCTTTATATTTTGGCAACTTCATTCCAGGTCGTGGGATTTTAAGATTTTTAAATTTGTTGTCTTTCAATTTAAACAAAAAAAACATGCTTTTTGATTAGATATAGCTCCTTACAACACCAACACATCATTATTTTGTAAGTTTGTAAATCTTACACACTTTCAAGCATAACTTCTTTTCTATTGAGAATAAAACCAACCTAAATCTTACTTATTTTTAGAGAAACATTTTACATAACTTTGCAANGTGAAAAGTAGAAATAGGAAGTTCGGAATTACTTTGGATGTAATGACCTAAGTAAACGTTTAAATTACGGAGACCTGAATATTATTTTTGTTTAAAATGTTCTGAACTATATTTTAGAAATGTTTAAACGAACCTATTCTTTTCTAAGAAGAGTGAGAGGTAGTAGTACTCCAGAGTGTTGGTGTTCAAGGTGCTCAAGTTCTATTCCAATGCGATCAACATGAATACAAATTTAAAGTTATGCTGATAATTTTAATAATCTTACTTAAGGTTGAAAAATTGAGAAAAAACCTTACAAAATAAAATTGGTAATTTTAATTTTTGAAAACTCTGAAATAGGAAATCGACTGATAGAATCAAGTTATTATAGTCCAAAGAACAAAAGAAACAGCAATGTGAAGTGTGTACAAACCCGTTTTACTAAAGTGGCCTAATAACTTGCTAGTAAAGCTATATGCTTTGTAACACATTAAACACTTCAATTTGATTAAATGCCGTCTTCCTATTCTACAGTTTTCTGATTATCACTGTGCATAAAAGCTTCAACAAGAAATGATGCTGATAACCGCGCAAGTTAATTAAAAGGTGGTTTGATCACAAACATTTATATGTTCCTAACCCAAACTCAGAAGTGTTTTTAATCCAAAAATGTGAATTTCGAATTGTCCTTCGAAATCGAGTTTCTAAATGACAGTTTTGAAATTTTATATCAGATATCAGTTTCTAATCCGAACAACAAGATCTGTAACTCTGAATATTTTTTTAAAATTACATAATTTTCTATCATAACATTTTTTCCAATCTGAACTGTTTTTGGTATAAACCTTTTACTTATCTGAATATTTGCAGGCTGAGTCTAAAACTAAAGAATGAAAAGTTCCGACTTAAATTTTAAGTTTCAGCTTAAATGCCTCTTCTGACGTAATTTAAACCTGAATTTTAACCTTGGGGTTAAATATTTAACTCGCTAAAATCGACGAGTTAAAATTTAAACCCACCAGGGTTAAAGTCTAGAAATTCTGCATTTTTCCTATTTGTCTATTAATCAATCATAATTCAGCTGAGAATGTTTTGTTTTTGGTTACGTAAATTACTTAAAATTAAAAAAACAGCTGATGAGCGATCGTTACGTGAATTCTTTTCTCTGATTGGTTCAGATTTTCCCCGGGAAATTCAAATTTACTTTCAAGCTTAAATTGAGAAAGTAATATTTTTGTAGCAACTCATTATTTTACAGAACTTTTAAGCTATTACTTAAATTTCGTGCATTCTTTAGTTTTAGACTCTGGATAGGTAAAATTTACAAAAACATTGACAATAAAATAGTTGATGAAGTTTCCCTTGACATCAGGCATCTCAAAGTACGGTGGAAAAGTTGTATAAGAAACCCTGAAATCAGATTATTACATTCCAGATATTGTTTTATTGTTTTTTAGTGACAGAAAAAACTAGAAAAGAAATAATTGCATGAAAAACTAATTTATAACAAATAATTGTTTCGTGTCTTTACGATTTTAGTTTTAATTTATTCTTTCAAATTGAGTTTCAATTAATAATTAAAACTTTTTTACACATAATAGTTTTGTTTAAAGTGGCAATTTTTGTTTAAAATGCATAACATAGGGTTTACTTTCTTAAATTTAGAATGGCGTTTTTTTCAAAATGGCGAATGGTAGATTACAAGAGAAAATTCAAAATTTCCATAAACTTTTATTAACCTAAGTTCTTTTTGAAAATGAGGATTACAGCAGAGTCCTGAGGTTAGATATTTCTCAAGGTTGGAAGAAACACGGTTCTTCTCAGGGTCCCAATATCCTCTACAATAATGTTGAATATTGACTGTTTTAGAGTAAATAAACTTTTATTAATATGAAAGCACAAAAATGTGTAGCCGGGTAACTTATCTGTAAAAGTTCAAAATTTAAAATTCTTTATGAATGAGAAAAGGAATCTTTTTTTCCAATGTTTCTATTGATATGGATATCAGAAGGATAACACAAATTTCGGGCATAATTGCGCTAAAACTTGCCTTTAATGAGGAAAATTATCAACTCTAAACATATTTTAGTGTATTTTTAAAGTACAAATAAACAGTAAACAATAGTTTAAGACAGAGTTTTACAGTATGTCATTTTATTTAAACTCGCACTTTCACACAAAACGGATGCTTAAAGATACTTAAACAATAATTAAAAAAATAATGTTCATTGGGAAGTTTCCATCATCTCCTGAACATCTGTGAAAAATTAAAATAGAAAATACAGAAATGCTTTTTGTTTGTTTAGAGTTGGTTACTTTTTTCAATTTATTCTTTAAGTGAGTCAACATTTTTAGTCAAAACTTCAAAAACCAACTATCTGCATATTCTACGAGAACGGATTTGATTAATAGAAAGAAATAGTTGAATCTAAAACCCACTATTTATTACTTCGTTCAGAGTTCTGCAAATTACTGCAGTACACACCGAAAGCTTTGTTTGGGTGGATTGTATACCTGTAAACTGTACTGCATTCTGCACATCTGATATACAAATAATGAAGGTCGACTATGTTGACCCAGTTAACCGGCCGATCCCAGGTCAGGTCGTCAAGCAACATCTTGGCTGAGTTGACCATTACAAACTGCAACAGGAGAAAATTAGTGCCTGTAAACTAGGGCAGGAAACAGTAGTGCCTGTCAACCAGGGCAGGGTACAGGATACAGGATTCAGGATACAGGATACAGGATACAAGATACAGGATGCAAGATACAGGAATTCTTTAAGAGAAATTATTTAATTTGGTATACGCGTAGTGCAAAGATATTGTCCTTCGTGTTACCCCTAAATTTTCCAAGGAACCCCTTAGAACTTAGAAGTAAATATTTTATATGGGGAAAATAGGGAACATTGTTCCCATTTCAGGGGACATTAGTTTTGGAACTGATTTCCCCTGCATTTTAAGGTCCAGGGGAAACAAATTTTCCAATGTAACTCCCTGGATCCACTCTATATACAATTTAACACGTACAGGGTAAAGCATTAAGGATGAGACTTCAGAGACAACTTTACGGAAGTAACACTGTCTTTTTCATCATTTTTATGTACAGGGTAACCCATTCAGGATGAGACTTCAGAGACAACTTTACGGAATTAACACTGTCTTTTTCATCATACTTATGTACAGGCAAGGGAGATGCAGGGAAAGTTATTTCAAAGTGTACACATCTTTTGTACTGAAGTGTACTGTCTCTGGGCGCTAATGTAAACACAAGACGGATATCGAAGCCTGACATGGGATCCATCTTTTACATAAAAAAATCAATGAAATATTCTGGTCATAGGAAACTATTATGTGAATTATCAAAATTTAATGCTTTTAACCTCCTAGGATACTAAACGAACACTGATGCATCTATTCTTGTTTACAAATTCCGCCCAGAGAGAACTGGTTTCAATATGTACACAGAGTATACACAACCGCAATTGAATTTCCTTGTATGTCACCCTTGTGTAAAGGGTAACCCATTCAGGATAAGACTTCAGAGACAACTTTACGTAATTAACACTGTCTGTTTCATCATATTCATGATTTCCTAAGAAGAAAACGTCTCGTAAAAAAATACAAAACAAAAAGTGCAATAATAATATAAAATAGCCGTAGAAAATAATGGTTTAAAAGTGGTGGTGATTTCATATGGAGAAAAGCGCATGCCACAAAACACTTTTGGGTGATGGCAAATTAAGCAAATTGAGTAGGTGTGCACTCTCTCCCTTTATATAGCCGGGGAGGAATTGAGTCTTTGCCACAAACTATGATTTTCTAATCCCTATCTGAGCAACCCAACGTTGAGGACCTAAGATATTTCAAACTATGAATTCTGTTAGTTCAAATAATCTAAGTTTAAAATATCAAAGGTTTAAACCATAAGGTTGCAAAGATAAAAGGCATTAGAATATTTGTTTTGTGGCAAAACTCAGTTTCTTTGTTTTAAATATCAATTTTTATAAAGAAAATCAGAAAAATTGCGAATTAATATATGAAAACTAAATATATTGTTAGTAACTGTATAAAGAAAAAATCTTAAATGTAAAGTAATATAGTTAAGATATCTAAGCAACACCTTTAAAAGTAGTGAAAAAAAAATCAAACCTTCGGAATACTTTTCAGAATGTTCTGGACTTTATACAATAGGTTTCTGTTCTCCTCTGTATACTTGTTGATGAACCCAATCCAGCAGTTGCTGGGGGTGATGTAGTTGAATTCGTTCTCCAGGCCCATTATAGATTTTAGATCTGATTCATTCGATAGGAAAAGGACGGGGATTTCAGGGTATACAGGAACATTTCTGGACATTATTATTATTATTATTATTGTTATTATTATTATTATTATTATTATTATTATTATGATTGTTATTATTATTATTATTATTATTATCAAATTTATTAAACTATGAATTACCCAACAACTACCAGAGTACAATGTATTGAGTTAGAAACTCCAAGAAGAGAACTAATAGATTCTAATAATTTGTCCATATCTAATGATAACATACATTACATACAGATATTGATAAGTTATCTTTATGAGATTTAACCACGAAGAAGAAGTTTGCATTTAATAATTTAAAGAAATGTTGAGCAACAAATGGTGTGAACATCATAATGATTATGACATATGACAATTATACTGATGTATGTTTTAAGCCAAGGCTGTCAAGTCTCTTTATCTAAATATATATATACATACACTTTGCTTGTCTGTTTCTTTGTAACCGATAAACGTCAAAACGGCTGAACCCATCGCGGGCCTAATTTTTTGTGGGACCCCACCCCATGAAAGGTTTAAGGATGCTTAGAGTTTCAAAAATCGAATTTTTTTCTCTAAAAAATCTAAAGAAAATTTTCTCAAAATTCGAAATTTTGTTTTTCAACGGGCAACGCCGGGATCTTCAGCTAGTTGGTTTATAAATTACAAAGAAAAGATGCTCACAGATAGAACAACAATTGATGGTTTAAAAAATAGAAGGGCGGGAAGCGCAATGTCTATTTCTTATAAAATACAGGGATTTTAAAAATGGTTTTTCATAGAGAAACAACATGATTTCAGTTCTTATGATTTATGTTTTAAGAGTTAGGTTTCCCCCCCAATTTTTATTAAAAGGATATTTATGGTTTTTAGAATGTTCAGTATGTTTCCCTATATTTGAGTTTCCTCCAAGTGTTGTTTGTGATCCTAGTACTGTAGGTAGAACCAGGAGAGCAACCAGAACAAGTTTCATCCTACTCCGAGGAACCAGGCGAGCATCCAGGACCAGTTTCATCCTGCTCCGAGGAACCAGGAGAGCATCCAGGACCAGTTTCATCCTGCTCCGAGGATTAGATCTTGAATGAGAAGGTTTAGATGTGAAGAGTTGAGAGGCCAACCTTTACAAATTAACTATTCATCTAAACAAGCATCTTTTACATAGACTATTAAAGGTTACGAAAGATAAAAAAGGCATTACAACATTTCAAAATAACGTCATAATGAAGCTGGATAGTACAGGGGCGTATACAGGATTAAATTTCTTTTGCCCATTAGAAGTGTTTGGGGGAAAGAGGTGTAAGAGTCTGAAGTGGCGTACTTCCGCTTCATGCTCCCCCTTCATGCGTTTTTTTAACGGTGTAGTGAATTATCATTTTTTGAGCCAAAAATTCTTTTTTGAGGAGAGGCAATAAAATCCCAAGAGGAGGGGTGGAGGGAATTTTTGTACCCCCCCCCCCCTCCCAGTTAAACTGATATACATGCGTCCAAACAAACAAAAGATCTGAAGTCTGAACACTTGCTACAAACTCTAATCTTAATTCTAAACCTGATGTCATAAAAATTTTGATATTTTGGGCTTTGAATTTGAATCAATCAAATTTTCAAAGTTTGAATATAAAAGGTTTACAATATCAGGATGTTGCAAAGATAAAGAGATTATAAAGGAATTGAGTCTTTGCCACAAACTCTAATACTCCGGTCTCTTTATCTTTGCAACCAAATGTCGTAAACCTTTTATATTTCAAACTATGAATTTTGTTTAATCAAATAGTAAAAGTTTGAATTGTCATTTTACATTATAATTTTATAATTTACATTATCAGGTTGCAAGGATAAGAACATTTGAGTTTGTGGAAAAGACTCAATTCATTTGATTTTGAGGCAAGTGTTCATAAGTCATAGTACATCTTCTTGATATTTAAATAGTAATTAAACTATGTGTTTTATCACTTTCCGATTATTTGTTTATTGAGGTTTTAGTAAATAAAGGATTCCGATTGGCTGAACTATCGAAAACTAATTATCTGACATGATTCAAATTTCAAATTGATCTTTCTTTATTGTGTATTGTGCAACTAGAAAGAGGTGATGGGAAAGAGGGTGGTGGAGGACCCAAGGAGGGGAAAGGGGGTGAGGTGGAGGACCCCCAGAGGGGAAATGGGGTGGTGGAGGACCCCCCCCCCCCCTACTGTTCCTGAATCTCATTCCCCTTGAAAAATCTCTCTTTCAAACTTTTATTGAAACAAAAATGGTACAGAACTGCGTAAAATCTGTAGATGTAAAATGTGTAGACTAGGAATAATAAAAAATACTCAAATATTTACTCAAAAATCAACAACCATACGTGAACATTTCGCAACTTAGAATTCCCCCAATTTATTTCATTAAACAAATGTAAAACAATTACTGTAAAATCTATTTCGTTAAACAAATGTAAAACAATGACTGTAACATTTATTTCATTACACAAATGTAAAACAATTACTGTAAAATTTATTTTATTAAACAAATGTAAAACAATTACTGCAAAATGGTCGGAAATATATAATTACCACTCGAAACAAATCCAAATTTTCTTGTTTTTAAAGATGTAATAATAGTACAGAGAGGTATAAAGTTTTTATCTTTACTCTCTCTCCCTTGGTTTAGTTTTAAGGTGTGCACTGAGCATGTTTTATAAAGTTAGGGTTGCACGACTCCGCAATCATTTCTATTTGTTTGGAGTTGAGATTAAAGATCAGAGAAATCAGGATTTAATATAATTATCCTTCAGTTCTAAACCAGAGTCCCACGTTTCAGGTGTTTCTGCTATTTTATGATCTAATATTTGACGTGGAATTTACTGAAATATTCTGCTATTTTATGATCTACTATTTGACGTGAAATTTACTGAAATATTCTGCTATTTTATGATCTACTATCTGACGTGAAATTTACTGAAATAAAGATAGTTTGAGAAAAATAAAAAAACGTCACGCGCTGCACGTAATTCAGTTATGTAATTAGGTTTCTAGTCGGTATGTCACGGATACCAACGAGAGAAAAAGGTTTATATCTGTGAATTTCTCCATACTGCCCAAGTCAACCACAAGGCAAATTAAACAGTTTTCAAAATCAAAAACATGGAGTTCTAATTCAAACTTGATCAGAGAAAGCTTTTAAAGGTATACCGTTAAATCGTGTATTGCAATTTTTGTATGTAGGGTCACTTGAAATTACACTTACAGTCCCTTTAAATAGGAGGGGAAATGTAATGTAGAAACTTATACACGTTTATTATTGGTAATCCAGCTTTGCATGGAAACTAAAATTTCTTTATAAAGTGAAACCGCTCAACCTAAACATGTTATACCAAGCTAAGAACATTTCTTTGGTTCTAACGAGTTCTTCAATCAAAATTAGAGAAAAATTAGTCAAGGGGTTTATGAGTTACTAGGCTTTAAGTGTGAACATGTTCGCTGTGTAAACAACTATACATTGTAAAACAAAAGCAAAACAAAAAAATCGCGGATTTACAAAAAAAAATTCGTGGATTTTCAAAATTTTCAAAAATTGAGTTTTTTTAGAGGGAAATTTTTGAAAATTCGATCATCCATCACCAAACCCCAAGGTCACGCGAGGTCCTGCAAACAAATTGGGCACGATCGGTTCAGCCGTTTTGACGTTTATTGGATAAAACAAACAAGCCAAGTATATATATATATATATATAGATGATCGGACAGACATAGATTACTACTTTAAACACATAGATGTAATCTAATCAAATATTTCTATCCGATCATAACTCATGAATTCCTAGACCGACTTGCATCAAATATTGTCAGGGGAACTTGGTAGAACCACGGAAAATGTTGACTTTTATAGAGAAAGATAGCTTCCGGGCAAAGCTGGGTTCCCAGGAACTAAATAAGTTTCAATATATTTAGTATGGAATTCATAGAAAAAAATGCTTTTAAGGTTAGAAAGGATCTCGGGATCTTAATTAAATTTATCCGACCTGTCCAATAGATAGACCCAGGGCAGAGTCTTATAAAACATTATACATTTCGAACAAAAAAGAATGACAAGGAATTATTTCCCGCACCCCAACATTCCATAAAAAATATCACCCCTATACGGTACAGCGTGTTCCAATAATAATTTGATTCAAAATCGTCTTTGTTTATGATTTCTGATTTACTATGTGATGCCTTCTCACCATAGTTTCAGTAGAAGTTAATATTTACATTTACTGATAGCGCCGATTGAAGAATTCATAACTCTGATTGGATAATGAGATAGATAGAAAGATAGATGTTACCGCCGTACAATTTCTATTGGTTTAGAATCGACAACAAACACATATGATTGAATCCTGATTGGATCAGGCACTAATGGACCCGGCATACAGGAATGTTCTGGTGATCTGCAATCCGTAGACGTCGTTTGATATATTTATGTGTTGTTTAATTTCATACTGACTTTTAAGAAAATCATAATATACAACCACAGTAAAGTTTAACTTTTGAGCAATATTGCATAATATCTATAGAATTTTGTAGAATAATAAATCAGCCTCTTATAACGGTTACACACTTTAACAGACGTCACTTTATTTTGACTTTTGAAATAAGGTACGACAACTCTAATTATTAACAAAGTTGATCCTGAATTTACACTAGAATCTTCATATTTTTTGGGACACTCCAGCACTTGAAACCTGAACCCTGGTATTCTCAACCTTATTGTCATGAAAAATACTGGAGGGCATAATTAAAGTTTATTTAAAGAATTCAAACTAAACTTTTCATTGTATCCTAGTGATAGGTTACTTCTTAATAGATTTAATATCTGGAGGAAGGGGGGCACAGTGGGGTATTAGGGGGGGGGGTCAGCCTAACCTTTTAGGGTTCTTCCAGGTATACCCTAGGTAACAGCAAGAATGGTAACAGATTCATGAAGAGAACGAATTATTTGGTGTAAAGCCTGAAAAGAATTGAGTATTATGGTTTTGCCCCTGTCTTCTTATACAAATACTCATATAATAATTCCGGAATCCTGTGTTTTGTCAATTTATTATAAAAACACCAGTTAAAGGTCTAAACTGAAGAAATAAAACATAGGGTCGGATTCTGCAGTAAGGCTGGTATGTTTTGCACTCTTGCAGTATTGTTTAGCTTTCACTCAATAATTGGCAAAACGTAACAGAAAAAGCATAATTTTTGATAATTTTTCATCGTTTTATGCTCAAGATAATATTTTCAATGCTTATTTCCCGTGATATCCTACCATTTTTCAAGCTTTTGGGAATAACACTTTATGTTAGAAAAAATGGGAATACGGAATTATTAGATGCAAATTTACATATTAATACAGGGGCAACACTCAGATACTCAATTATCTTTTTTAGGATGTACTCCACATATTTTATTCTCTTTGTAAATATTTTACCTGAGGTACCCGGGAGAACCCTGAAAGGTTAGATTTTTTGATTTGAATTGAATTTTGTGCAAAACAATAATAAAACAAAACAATAAACATTCAACTCTGGAGTTTAGGGGAAAGGAAAAACAGGAAAATAAGAATTTTGAAAATAAAATTTTGTAAATCTGTTGCGGACAATGTATTATAATATTTTTGTTCAATTTCATCCTGATAAAATAATCACGGAACCTTCGCAATTCAAAACAATCTTTTGACATCTTGTTGAACACGATTCATTTTTTAATATTCAGAGTCAAAATAACTATGGATCAAAGACCTTTCACAGTAATAAGTTCCTCTTATTTGATTAAAAAATATATAAAATAAGGGCATTGTTTAGATTTGTATTAACTATTTGAAACATTAACTATAATATCCCAAAATTGGAAAACATTACAGCATATCTTATCTAGGATTCTTTCTTGCATAAATCCATTTTGCATTTAATAGCGTTTTTACTTTTTATTAATTACTATCTGAAGTGCCCGGAGTTGCCTCTGGAATTTTTTTTATTTTGTAAAAAAATTAATTATTTTAATAAAAAAAAAAAGAATCCCTATAAGGCGGAATATCACAGGAAACAAGAAGAGCTTCAAATCTCACAAAGAAATATTAGGTGCGAATTTTCAAGGAAAAATATAAACCCGCGCCAT